GTAATACTAGTTTGCCTTTGATTATGTTATTTTTTATAAAACAGATTGCAACTTTGTATATAAAACAAAGGAAAAAATTTGAAAGGTAATATCTTACTTTTGAAGTTCCTGGTAGTTTATAAAAATTTATTGATTGTTTATTCATGCCCCCCTATTTATTTACCTAGCATGAGAAATGCCTAATATATTTTGCATATTAAATATACTTTCCATTACTATATGAAAGTATATGTGTTTTCATGTTTCTATGATTTGGGAATAATAAAGAATGATTTGAAAGTGATTTCTCAAATTAGCACAGGCTGTTCCTATAACTTGGCTAGCTATGAGGTAAAATTCTAACCCTACATTTTTCATGTTTTTTTTTAAATTGAGCATCCCAGTTAAAATCTACATCTCTCATGTAGTTCTTACCATAATATATTGCTTGAATTTATTGTCTGCGGTCCTTATCTTCAATTAATTTATAGCCTTGAGAGAAGAAATATGATTTCTCTTCTTTGTTGCTATAGCAAAAATCTCAGACTCTGCATTTTGGCCAATCAAACCAATCAACCAATATTTGCTAATGGACGGATTTAGAAATAAGAGTGCGGTAGTGCTTTGATGGCGTGCTACAGCATATCAATATAAAGTTCACTTTTAGTTTTTTATTTCATTAATTTTATTTTATTTTTTCAATTTTTATTGAGGCACCGTGATTTACAATACTGTTGATAGAGTTTCATGCATACAGTGTTCCAACAACCCCTCTCCACAGAGTGTCAACATCCTTCCACCAATGACCCAGGGACCCTTCTCATTGGTTAATGAATTACTCATTTTTATACACAAATAAAATATATAGACTTAAATTATTGGAGAATCACAGATTTTTTTTTGCCATAGCTAACTTCTTATAAATTGTCACGTCCCAGTTTGTTATTTTTTACATGAAAAAAACAAGTTTTCCATCTATACTGTATTAAGATGCTTGAGAAAAAAAAACATTTACTTACATGTTTTAACATACAAAGCAATTGTCTTAGTAATCCACATTTTAATCATTTGCCACATGTACTAGACACCCATTAGGTGAATGCGTTGCTTTATGGAAATCAATTTTCTTAACTGGATACTTATAACTTATAGACAACCAGTGCTCATGCCTTTAGATTCCCAAATGGTCCACAAGGATGGCTATGACTTTAATGTGTCCCATCAATTCATTTTGCTGTATCAATTTTGCTTCAGACTCATTGTGTTGCTCGTTCATTTAATTTCTTTCTTTTTTGAATGGCATGCACATTTTCTTTAGAATGACTAGATATATGGCTACCAATTTTTGATTTTGATCTCTACTGTGTGTACTAAACCTGATTGGAGGACTGGGAAGATATCTCAGAAGAGGAGCACATGCTTGCATGTGTGAGGCTCTGAGTTCCGACCCGGGAACCACATGGTTGCCTAAGCATTGCCTGAATGTGCATCTGTTTCCACTCCAGGGCACTAGCACATCACATCCCAAAGGTCCAAACACCTTTCCTGCCCAGCTCTGCTGCCCCAGTGTCCCTGGAAGTGGCTCCTAGGTTCCTGGGTGCAGTTTGGAAGCCCTACCACATTAAAACATATGAAAACAAAATTATATACTACCTTGCTGCATTTATTTTATTCAATGACCTTCATTATGGCCAAAAAATAAAACCAGAATATTTATGCTTTTACTTTTTATTCTGAAAACCAAATGTAATCTGCCTTATGTAGTCTGGAAAAGACAGTGGACACCAGATCAGATAATTTTCTCTTGATCAGTCACTGGGTGAAGCTTCTCAATTTAGGTTCACATTGCAAAGACTGTGTAAAACTCATCCTCCTCAAACGAGTCTTAGAGTCAAAAGGAGATATTAGCAGTAGGATTTATTCCATTAGATTCTCTACGCCACTAATTACACCATAAAGGTTGGAAGAGAAAGACAGAGTCCTTCTAAATAGCAATAGTCTTTATCATTTACTTTCTGCATATTTGGGACATAAAACAAATACCATGGTTCGGATTAATTCTCTTGGATGCATGACTAGCCAGCTCTCGTTTCTTCAGAAATGGTATTTCTGGAACACAGACTTGCTTAGAGGGAAGATCACACAAAATGAATTTTAGAATTGTTTTTTATCAAACTGTACTATTTTGCAAATAAGACAGCTGAGATTCAAAGAAGTTATCTAAGATGATTCATTCAACTGACTTGTGGAGTGACTAGTCTGTACTACAATTGTCCACAATATCATCTCCTGAATTTTAACTGTCTTATACTTTTACTTCTATCTAATATCTGGAATGATTTTAAAATACCCATGTAGATGATACTTTTTTGCTTCTGATCCTCTCTGTTCCTAGAATTCTTCATATGTGGTCACCTTGGTTCTGTTCTTTCTTCCATCACTTCTTTCTGTGGATCTCTTATGTCCTTTCACCTCAAAAACACCTCAATCTCAAGGTCTAACTCTTACGTTTCTCTTATTCATTTCATTTTCCTTTTTCTGTTCATTAAGGATAATAGAATTTAATTTCCCTCTTATGCCTCTATTTTTTTTCTTCTCAATTCCTTCCCTTATGTTACCTTTTTTTCTATGATCCACGAAAATGAGCTCTCTTTCTATAAATATCCTCAACTCTGTCGTCTTTCTTTGCACTTATCTGACAAAAATACAATTCTAAATTTGTTATTTTTTCTATGCTTACATCAGAATTGATAAAAGTCAATGAAGAAAATTTCATATCTAGGTTGATAGATAACTGCCTTAACAGTGACTCTCAGTATAGTGCTCAGTATTGTTTAATCATATACAACAATCTGTGTTTTTACAAGTTTTTCTGGCTATTATTTACTTTCAGGTGTCAATCAGTGTGCTGTTAAATACTGGTCTCTGACTTGAACTGGCCATTAACTTTCTTGATTTGCTTTCCAAATTAGTGGTTTTCTATTTTTTCATAATATTTTCCTCAAATATCACTTCAAGTCTGTCATGTTACCTCTCTAAGAGAGACCATACTCAAACTACCTCAAACACCTGACACCAAATCCTCAGATGTAAGTACAGATAGTAGAATGGAAGGGAGTCTCTCATGAGAAAAGTATGTGCATCAGATTTATTCTCTTTAACCTTTGGGAATCTCTCCTTTTCTCCCTCTCTTCTGGAGTCTATCAAACACCATCAAAATTTATATTCAGACACTTGGGGGGATTTTAATTTGAAGTGTGATAAAAGCATTGTAGGGCTTTAAGCAAGGGAACAGCAGCATTTAATGCATAATTTATAGAGACATCCTTCTGCATGGAGAATGGATTGCACTGGCGGAAGCAAGAAAAGAAGTTTAGCTGTAATTGAGGATGAAGCTAGCTTTGAGCTATGATTTGGAGGTACAGTTATACACTAGGGTGAAAGGATTCAAAGGTAGTTCCAGTCTTGATACATAGCAGTGTGAATGCTAATGCTGTTTAACAGAATGGGAAAGAACTTGGAGGAAATAAAATGCTTAGAAATATCAGGAATGATTTATGCATGTTTTAAATTTTAATTACTTATTAGAGACCTATTAAGAGATTGCCAGTTAAATACTTTCACTTTAGAATCCCTGGATTCTAAAGTAAAACAGAAATAGGAATATAGATTGAGAAATTTAAGACTTGTAAGTAATGTTTAAAGCTCTTCCATTTGATGATAAGATCACCTTTATCATCAAAATGTAAAGCAAAGTGTATAGAAAGAGAAGTGGGAATATAAGAGCCTTCTAGCTCAGAAAATGAGATTGAACAAATGGCAAGATTTGGAGCCAAATTCTGCCCCACAACTAAGCTACAATAAAAACCATGAGGTAACCCGTTGGAAATCTTGAGAAGAGTACTCACAACAAAATGGTGACAAAAAGTCTGATTTAGGATTGGTTGCAAAAATTCCATAGCTGAATTGAATTATTAGTGAAAGAGAAGCTGAAAATATTATTATCTATTTGAGTCTTTATGGAACAGAGTCCAGAAATCAAAAACAATTCTACAAACAGAAACTAAACTCCTCAAATTGGTGTAGGACTTTGTCAAACTAAAGGTGATTGCTAAAGACTCACATTTGAAAAGTTTAAATGAATGTGTGATAAAACTTAAAATGAGTAGGGACACCAAAATCAATACAGAGTTCTATAAATGGAACTGCTATTAGAATTGTCACAAAACAAGAATCACTTTGACAAATCAGTTACGTTATTAGAAGTAATATAAAGTATAATATTACTTTGGATAAGTTGTTATGAATATTATGAGTTCAGAAATATTTTAGAATTGGCAACACACACTGCCTTTTATTATTTTTATTGGTTAATTCCTTTAAGACAATATATTAAATTTCATGGTTGATAAAATATAAGAAATCGTGTTCTCATCCGCATATATTTTCCAAGTCCTTGGTGTGGTTCTGTGGGAAAGGGCCCCTGAAGTGAGTACTAAAACTATCACAACATTGGAAAAAATAGAACGTGAAGAATAAAAGGTCAGCCAAATCACCAAGTTGCAAAAACTGATTATCAGGTATACTGAAAATGAACTGGCTGTATACCAAATGGTCATCTTAGAGCGCACGCCGTAGAAATATAGGCAACTCACACAAATGAGTATCAGAATTATTAAACAAAAGAGGAGCCATCTATTTCCCAGCCATTTGGAATGTTGAGTTCTCTTGTAATTGCACACTCAAGATTCCTTTCATGAGAAAGCATTCGGGAAAGAGAATCTTTCATTGGAGGCTTTTACTATACCAAATATCAGAGAGAACATCTTTATTGTTCATTTATTTATTCCCTCATGTTCTGTCAAAAACATATCAAGCACTTATTTTACGCAAAGCACTGTTTTAATATATATGCTGACTTAAATATATGCATATAAGAAATCTTCATTTTAGAATTAATTAGCTGTCGATATGCTGGTGCTGTTACTCAAGCATGTGGACACCAAATGTTTAGTTCCTACCAGCGCGTGACCCCCATCTTCCTCGAAGTCCTCCTCTATCCCATCAGTCATCTCTTCACCATCCGCGTCCGGCCCTCCTTCAGCCGGCTCCTCCGTGGAGTGATCTGCGTTCTCCGACACGCTTTCTTCTTGGATCAGCTCTACCGTCTCTTCCAACTGCTTCTTCTGAGCTTCTGGGAGGGAAAAAGCACGTGACTTAGGTTGCTCCAGAGTCGATGGACAAAGCAAGAACAAACTAGCTAATGAAAAGTTAACTCTTGGTACTATGAAGGGTATGAGAATTAAATAGCAATGTGGTTCAGTCTAACGTATTCAGTCTTATAAATTGTGTATTGATGTGTATTTACATGGAAGCATATTTATTTTATAGAGGAGTTAGCAAACATTAGTAAATCCAGATGGTACTAGTATGCCAAAAAGGAATTACGTAAATGAAAAAATGAATGTGAGCACGTATATACACACACACACACACACACACACACAATCATAATAAAGAAATTCTGAGGAAAAAATACAGCAAAAACAAAGGGAAAATATCAGATGAAACATTACTTTTCATTGGAAGGTGGAGTATGAAAACATTCATCATCAATTTCGAACCTTAGTAAAAACAGAAAGCCTCTGAGGAAAAATCAAGTAACTAATGTTCAGGATATGGAGTAGTCAATCAAAATGCAAAACCGACAGTGTTTTGCGAAAAACAAATGAAGAAATGAAGTGACATTATGTATTAATCTAACTCTTTAATTACCAGGGATTGCATATTCAATTTATAGAAATTTGCCCAAATGGAAATTATGCAAACACCAAAGCAATTATTGTTCCCGTGGCTGGCTTTCATCTCCTTCCAAATATCAGAATTTGTTGGGTACTAAATAAAGGGCTCATTTTAGGCATCTCATTCTCTAGTTTATTCCCAGGTATCTGTGAAGTTTATAATTTTTTTTATCATTGTTATTTCATCAAATATTTATTTTCTTCAAAAGTGCTACACTTTAAGATTGTATACTTATATTTTATGTCATTCAGATTAGTGAATAGATTACAAATATATTGAAGTATTTATTCTGTTTTAATAATGTGGATCTAAAGTACATTGAGCGCTGATGGGTGCATTTTAACTCTGCACAATTTTTTTTTCTTTTTGGGTTACACTCAGCGATGCTCAGGGGTTACTCCTGGCTCTGCACTCAGGAATCACTTCTGGTGCTGCTTGAGGGACTATATGGGAGGCTGGGAATCAAACCCAGGTTGGCCGGGTACAAGGCAAACATCCTACCTATTGCATTATCACTCAGGCTCTGCCCAAAATTTTTTAATATAGTTAACAGGTAAATACATTAAATTTCTAAAATGATATAAGTAAACATATATAAATTACAAAAATTATAATAATAACTTGCATAAATGAGTGTGACTTTGCATTTTAATTTATTAAATAATGTTTATTGGAGGTAAAATAGAATATATGACTGTATCTTGGATTTGCTATCGAAGGACATGGTTACAGTTCCAAGTTAGCTACTTATCAAGGGAACTGCGTGCAGTAAAGTTGAGTCAGTTTTGTCAATTTGGTTAGGGCCTTTAAACAGATTTAATCACCCTTTCATCATCAATAGAAAAGTTTATTTTGTTTATTTTTGATTTGGGGCCACACCTGGTGGTGCTCAGGGCATATTCCTGCCTCTTTGCTCAGGGATCACTCTGCTGGGGCTTGGGGACCATGTGGGGTGGCCGGGATTGAACCCAAGCAAGCTGCATTCAAGGAAAGTACCTTTCTTGCTGTAGTATGTTTCTGGGCCCAGACCCTTACTCTGAAAGTAATAATCTATCTTTTTCCCCTCTAGACAATTTTTGAAATTTCTGACCAAAAAAAAGATAAAGCATATTTTTAGAGAATTCATGTAGGAGTCTTCAATTAAGTCTGTGTGTCAATTTGTTTCAGTTATCACTGGAATCCCAGCTGAGTTTTCCTTCTCCTGGCTGATGTTCCTTCCTCTGATCAGCTAAAACCTGGATTAAATATGGACTCACAGAGGTAGCTCTACTGTTTTCTAATATCTTCTCATTAGCATTTACATATCCTTAAAATTTGGTTTCTTGTCTAAAGGGACATTGCCGCAGTCCAAGGAGAAGAAGTGGACGTTGATTCAGTGAGTCATTATTAACAGTGATAGCTGCTGTGCTGTGCTGTGAATTCTTAGTGTATGAAAGACAATATAAACGATTAGAACGAATATAGAAATTTAAGTCCGGAATTCTAATTATAAATCTTATTAAATGTAGCTTTCTTCTCTAAAAGGAACCAGAAGTAATGTCTCTCAGAGAGTTTTGTGCTAAACTTTCAAATAAGGAAAAGGAGACGAATACACTTTTAAACTGCAAAGGTCACATACGAGGATCAGAACAGTTCTTAAGTTGACTCAACATTGATTGTTTTGTTGCCATGGACAAACTAGCTAAGATAAAAATCATTCATCGCTACTGATCATCAGGAAATAAAATATTTTAAAAAAGACAATTTTGGCTTTGACCTGTGCTTCATTTCTATGTTTATCAGACAGTGTTTTAAATGCTCTGTGATTCTGTTAGTGCACAACATGTTATTTTTGCAGATGGCCTATTCTAAAAGCAATTGTCATCCATTTTGGGGGAAATGACTCCCACACAGTAACAGGGGACACAGGGGCCATTCCCATGATACTCCAACAGGGCTGACTGGTTGAAACTAGTGGGTACTGCTGAGGCCCTGCAATGCCGGGACCCACAATATCACACTTGGGTTACAACTTGAGATGCCAAGAGACCCATAGATACCTACAACTCATCTGTGGTTTCACACCTGCAAAGCACGTGCCCCTGATCTACTTTTGTCAGTTTTAAACTTGAAATCCAAATGCCTGGAAGACATTATCTGGATTGAGAAAATAGCTTTAACCTCCATGCATAGCAATCATTTCATAGGAGTTTAAAGGAAATAAGTAATTCTATGCTTTAGGTTATATGTAATCCCATAGATTTTTGGCATCATCTTGATGTAGAAATCCAAAATAAAACAAACCATTAAGGCATATCTTGTTTATTTAACTATTGGTTCACTGTTTAAGGTAAAGGTAAAGGTAAGGCCCTCCCGTTGATCGTCGATTTGCTCGAGCGGGCCCAGTAACGTTTCCATTGGAGACTTTGCTGTTACTGTGTTTGGCATATGAATACTCTCGGTAGCTTGCCGGGCTCTCCGAGAGGGGCGGAGGAATCGAACTCGGGTCAGCCATGTTGGCCGCTTGTAAGGCGAACGCCCTACCGCTGTGCTATCACTCCAGTACTTTTATTTTTCCCCCTTTATTTTATTTTATTTTTTTTTTACAGTTGTAGATTTACAATTTTTTTTGTTCTTGGGTTTCAATTATACAATGATCAGATACCCATCCCTCCACCAGTGCCCATTTTCCACCACCATGGATAATATCCCTCCCACCCCCATCCCCCCATCCCCCACTGCCTCTGTGGCAGGTCAATCCCCTGTGTTCTCTCTCTCCGTTTGGGTGTTGTGGTCTGCAAAAGAGGCATTGAGTGGCAAACATGTTCAGTCCATAGTCTACTTTCGACATGCATCTCCCCTCCTGGGAGGATCCTCCAAACATCCTTTATTTGGTGCTCCCTTCTCTATCTGAACTGCCCTTTCCTCTAGGATACCCGGCTGGCCTCTGAGTTATGGAGTAATCCTCCTGGTGCTGATCTCAGCTATTCTTGGGTATTAATCTCATACTTTGTTACTTTATATCCCCCAGATGAATGCAATCTTTCTATGTCTATCCCTCTCTTTCTGACTCATTTCGCTTAGCATGATACTTTCCATATTGTACCACTTGTATGTAAATTTCATGACTTCATCTTTTCTAACAGCTACATAGTACTCCATTGTGTAGATGTACCAAAGTTTCTTTAACCAGTCATCTGTTCTTGGGCATTCAGGTTTCTTCCAGTTTCTGGCTATTGTAAAGAGTGCTGCAATGAACAAACAAGTGCAGATGTCACTTCGACTATACATTTTTGCCTCTCTGGGATATATTCCCAGGAGTGGTATTGCTCACTCCAGTACTTTTAATACAGTGTTGTGCCCACATGACCGTGCACATGTGTATCCCAAGCACACGTGTTGCCGCAAATCCCCTCTTGAGAGGTGGACTTTCATGCTTTCCTGTCTAATGCTGGGATGTGTGTAGGGGCTTTCTCTGCCCTTGGAGAAGCCCGGGCTCTCTCTTGAGCACGTTACTCTCCACTCTCTCCAACTTTCTCTCCTTCCTTCCCTTCATAACCTCCAAATAAAATCTGTTTTACTTAAAAAAAATCTTTTTGAAATAGAAAACATCTAATTTTATTTTATTTTATTTTTGCTTTTTGGGTCACACCTGGTGATGCACAGGGGTCACTCCTGGCTCTGTACTCAGGAATTACCCCTGGCGATGCTCAGGGGACCATATGGGATGCTGGGAATTGAACCCGACTCAGCTGTGTGCAAGGAAAATGCCCTACCCTCTGTATTATCACTCCAGCCCAGAAAATATATGATTTTATTTCTATTACTTATGTGTGATATTTTAAATTTATCTTTTATAACATTATTTTGGCATATTTTAACAACAAGTCTCACGATGGAGACATTACTGGGCCCGCTCGAGCAAATCTATGAATAACGGGAGGACTGTGACCATGAACGTTCTTTTAATTAGCATAGTTTTTTTCTTTCTTACCATATATTTATTGTGTGTGCATGTCTGGTCTGTATGTTTATTTTTGCTTCTACCACTCAAGCTTCTTTGGGGCAGAAACATTTATTCATCTTTGATTCTTGGTAACTAACTCAAAGTCTCAATGAAAATAAAATATTAGCTAAATACATTTGTCAATTTTTATAGAATTAAGGAAGAAAAATAAGTGTTATGATGCTGTTTTTTTTTTAAAAATTATCGAGTCTTACGTGTTTGCTGAATTCAACATCATAGTATTAAAATATATGAATCCAAAGGTAAAAGAATTATCTTCTTGTCGAATTCTCTAAGATATTGTCACACAAAGAGTCAGAGTAAAATTTGGGTTATGAGGACTTTTCAGAAGAAAATTGTTCCTCTTTACACTGAATATTTTTTTTTTCTGGGAAAAAAGAAACTAT